GTTCACATGTTGAAATAAAAAATTACCAACCAACAGCCTCCAGACTTAAACCCATCGAGCTGGTTTGAACTGGACAGAAGAGTGAAAGCAAAGCAGCTACAACGTCCACGTTTATGGGAACTTCTGCTCCAGATATGGGAGAAGATTCGATTTCTGTTGCAGAAAGAAGCCACGGCTGTAATCAGCTGTTATATCAAAGGAGGCGACTTTGATGAGTCAAAGTTTAAAATACATTTTGGTCTATAAACTGATTCCATCTTTTTTAACTCTTTATTTTTACTACACTTTCATTTAAGAATGCAAAGAGACACTAAACTGCATAACTTTCAATAACAAACTGAAAAATCGGGGTGTTTTAAAACTTTTGACTCGTAGTGTGTGTTTCTTTCCTTTTCCTCCAGGCTCAGAGGGAACGCTTTCTGCCTGGTATCAGGCTGAAAACGTTTCCTTGGAGGAGCCAGAGGACAACCCCTGATCCAAGTCCCCTCAGGTCTAAACAAGGAAAAATCTGAAGGCATGAAGACATCAAGGAATTCCAGATGATTCAACATCTTGCTCATCAGACAAATCTGTACTCTGATTGGAGGATCCAGTCCACAGGCCTAAAGGGTTTCTTAGCAGTCTATATGGGTGTTTTCAGTTTCTCTTTGCTGAAGGACGTGTGGCACCATGGATCACGTTTTCATGCAGTAGCTGGTATCAGGTCCAGGAAGTGCTTCCACCTGTTATGTTGTTTGTGTGTATGGTTATAATCATGCAGCGCGTGGTGAGTGCTAGCACATCCTTCAAAGTTTCCTGTGCAGTTCATATAGTCTGAGGCCTGTCCTATGAAGCTTTACTTATCCAGGACTCTTCGAGGTGAACCCTGGTTCGCCAACGTGAGAACCCTGAACCCTTCTTGCCAAAGTACATTACCATGGTTACGCTGCAAACCGAACCTACTCTGGAGCAGGTTACAGGATCCAGATCAGAGATTAACATGAAATCATTGCCTACCAATCAATTCTCCAGAAAATGGTTAAAATAGCAGCCTCGAAGTCTTTGTGTTGGCTTGATGAGCATCAGTAATATACTGTCGTCATGGACCCAACTTTATTCATGTTGACTGCAAACTATTTTACATACACTACCAATCAAAAGTTTGTTTTTTCCTTATTTTCATGACTCTTTGCATTGTAGATTCTCACTGAAGGCATGAAAACTATGAATGAACACATGGAATTATGTGGTAAACAAAAACGTGTGAAATAACTCCAAACATGTTTGATATTTCAGATCCTTCCAAACAGCCTTTGCTTTGATTCCTGCTTTGCTCTCTCGGTGTCTCCATGAGCTTCATGAGGTCGTCTCCTGAAATGGTTTCCAACAGTCTTGAAGGAGTTCAGAGATGCTGAGCTCTTGTTGGTCCTTTGCCTTCCCTCTGCGCTCCATCCACATATATTTGAAGATTAAACCAGGACATTCTTGGCTAAAACATGTTGACAGTGTCTGGGTGACAGACTAACAGGGTGTTTCAAAAGGTTAGGTGTCGTTTGGGTCCACACATGTCCAAACCATTGTGTGGAGGCTGTGTTGGTACAAGAACAGCAACCAGACCAAAGCAATGATTTTGACTCGATCAGCGTTAAGCCCACAACCTGACAGATAAAATACATTTATGAACACAGCTGCAGGGCCAGGAGTGCCAGCATGAAGTCAATAAATACATCATTAAATGATTCATTAAATACTTAATTAAGTCATTAAACCAAAAATTAAACAAATGGGCTTTTAATTAATTTATAAAACATTTAATTCATTATTTAATGATGTATTTATTTAATTCATTTGTTGATGGACTGATCCCCTTTCCAACCTGTATGTGCACAGACACGTTAGCAGGACTGCGTCTGAGTTTGACGCTCACAGGTTGTTGAATTTATGCACAACGAATGTCATTGCTAATAAACACCTGCACCCACAGCATGAAATGATTTGCTCAGATTATGTTTTTTTCTCACGTGTAACTTCTGACAAATTCCATATAAACTCCTTCACATGCTTTACGATGGGACAGTGTGACTCGGACTCTTAGCACATGTAGCAAAGGTGAAGGAAACATTTACCTGGAAACGGTACAGGCTGCTGTCGTTGCACATGACCAGCTTCTTGTGGTTCTGCAGCGGGTAGATGTAACCATAAGCTACCAACATGGTGCCAAAGGCCTGAGCCTCTGGAACAAAGGAAAGAAAATAAAACCAGTTCAAACAACATTTGGCTGGTGTTCTCTTAAATATAAATTCATAATATAGAGGTAATATCCCAGCTATTATAGGGCGAGAGGCAGGGTGACAGTCTGTCGCAGGGCTAACACACAGAGACAGACACATTCACATACAGGCCAACTCCACTTTGTTTGTCCGCTGCTTTCAAAACGTTCTTTACTTTTGTTTGTTTTTTTAAACAAACAAACAAACAAACAAACTTGTACTGATTTTTCCAAATCCATACATTAATAATTAATAAACACTAAAACTGGCTGAAAGAAAACATTTTCAGAAAATAAAAACTAACTTGAGCAAACTCACAATGGAAACTAAGTGAAACTACACTGAAGTAAAAGCAAAAAGGCAAAAAGAAATAAAAACAGTAACTCTGGTAAATGGTGTGTGCAGTGATTTAACGTGTTGAAGTGCAGGGCTGCAGTACATTTAGAAAAAGAGATCGTACCTTCTGTAGTGCTCTTCATTTTGTTGCTAATCCAAGCAACTGTGTCATTACCTGTGTGGAGACACAAATATACTGATCAGAATCAAGAACACTGAATCACACGTCTTTGTGTTTATGTTGAGTCATTTGTTGGTCAGTGGAAACCAAAATTAATGATTAATAATTTTAATGAAAGCCAGAAACACGAGCACACTGGAGGCTAATTTGGAGATCCTGTTCAGAAAGACGCAGATACTGACATGATTCTTGCTTTATCAGCAAAAACCAGAAGATAAAAACAACTTAAGAATAGAAATTCACAAAGAAAGAACCAAATAGCACCGTCAGCTGTTCCAAAGTGTAAAACAGTTAAATGTGGACTATAAACATTGGGTTAAATTCCTTTAATAATGTCTTACAGAGACATGGTCACGGCATGATTCGTATGTTAGTTTAAATGAATCATCACCCCCGAGTCATACCAACCACCAGATACAGTTTTATTTTATTTGAGAAGCTGGCACACAGCCTTATAGGCTCAGATATAATAATCATAGCAGGTCATTTTAACATGCATGCAGGTGCTGGAAATGACAGCTCAGCCGTTTAATCTAGTATGAGAGCATCAGGCATTTCTCAAACTATCAGTGAGCCTGCTCAGCACATCCTCACATAAAAACAGAACAGTAAACTCTGAAACCCTTCTTTAGTCTGATCCTTTCTTAATAACATTTACAGTAATAGATTACACAGCGGGGAGCACGGTGGTACAACAAGCAGCTTCTGTTTATCTTTACCAGGCTGACTTCAACTATTATTCATTGTTTCAAAAGGTTTGCTTCTAATATCTATGGATCATTTAACCCTCGTGTAAGGTAGGTCTTCCTGCTAACTCACTGTGCTGCAGAGCACTGGGTTTGATTCTGTTTACTGTTGCTGTGGTAGAGACCTTACTTATTGGTATGAGTTAACTTCAGTAATTACTTCCTCCAAACCATCAACGTGTCTTTTAGACCCCATTCCTACAA